TATTCGCTTATTTAAAAACTACCTAAGTACTTGTTTTCTTTTTGCAGAATTAGGAGAGAAGTGAAGTAAAATTTATTTTACCAATTGTCAAATTTGAAAGATAAAGCCTGCTACTGACGTTTTGATTATTTTCTAATGAACACTATTAAAGTCTTGTCAGTTAATACGGTTTTTCTTGAAAACCATAAAGTTTTTTAAAATTTAACAAGAGTAAAAAATTTTTTAAAATGAAATTCTGCTGTGACTTGATATTATTATTTTTCAATTCGGTTAACGAAAAAAAAGTTCGGTACAATTTTAGGGGTGAGTCATCTCCAATGAACACCTTGTAGTGCTTCAATTAACCTTAAATCATAGTCAAAGAAGACCAGTAGGTAATAAACCTAAATCATGTACCAAATTTGGTTTTTATGCGGGACACTGTATCAATGTAGAAAATATTGAATTAATAACAAAATCTAAATGTTATTTTGTAAATGGTTTCTTATACCTATAATGAGACAGTAACTATATTGTGAAGGACTAAATGTGCTTCAATGAATAGAAAAAATTGAAAATTAACATTAAAATTTAATTATATTAAAACAGTATTTTTTCTGTTTACAATATAAAACGCATGTAGTTTAAAATTAATGTATCTAATAACAGTAAAAGTAGCAATTAATAGTAAGTTTCTCTCGTCTGCAGTTTCTAATGTTCCCATAATTTGTAATAATTGTTTTTCGTTCAAAATATTTTAATATAGAAAATATTGCTTACAAAAGAATAATATGTAAGATAAATCGTCATGGCTCATTACTGATTAGCTATATTGAATTAGCTTGTGGTTTCTTTGTGTCAACCAATGAATAAGCGTAAATCACTATAGATTTAGACATCATTTACTGCGAAATACTTATACGTACCCTTGGAATCCATGAAATAAGCAATAATATGGGTACATTTCAGTATCAGAAGGTATTACTTTTATTCATTACATTAAATTATAAAAATATATGTTACGGGTTGATTCTGGAAAAATAAAAAATATACAATGTACCAATACCGATACATTCAAGGTTCCATAATGCTAGTGCGTCATTCTATTGATTTCAAAATGGCGTAAATAATAATAATACATTGTCCATTGTAATATTTTGCAAGTGTATAATTTCTAATCACTAATTAAACGCGACGAAATGGCGTTCATTGCCAAGGTTACACGGAACTAATTGATAATTACAATTATTCAAAATGCACTCTATGATTAGGCGAATTTTCAGAGAAACACCTGATTAAACAAGACAATTTTGTTATGCAATCGGCGTTGCAAATTAAATTGCATCCTACAACTTCAAAACATTGGCAGGCTAACTTTAAGCATGCTCGTGGGAAAATCCTGAGAACTATCTGCTAATAATATGCTTATTAATTTTGAAATGTCATTCATGGAAAGCTATACAAATATTTCCTGTTTGTTTAGATTTTAGCATTATTTAATATACTAGAACTTCACGAGATTGGTCTCTGGGTAATCTTGGAACAAAAAATCTACGAATGATGTCTAAAACCTCTTATTTTCGAGATGAATGGTGTTGACGTTAAAACAATATCATGTTTTTCAAATATCTCTGATCTTTATTAATGACTCAAGTCATTTAAAACCTCAGTATTGCTATGAAACTTCCAATGACTATTTGGGGAATTTGATAAGAGAATTTCCTTCTCCATGTTATAATTAATATTTCTTCATTTATATTTTTTCATATATTTTTAATTTAAAATCTGACTACGTCACTAGATTTTGCACTCCTTCGATTGAGTTTGTACCAAATTTTATGAAAAATATTCATTATTCATTGTAAAATTAATATTAATGTATTTTATTACTTTAGTTCTTCACAAATGCAGTAAGTTTTATTAGCTACAAAGGTTCTAGTAACAACCTTTTGAATATATGTACTGAAAATGTTGCACGGACTTAAAAAACGTCCTGTATAGGTATTAAAGTTATTTCATAGTATAGACTGACTAATAGTCACAATATGTTAACAGATCCTGAAACAGTTTAATGAATTCGTAGACCACCACACCCCATTTAATGATGGAATAAACAACCACTTTCCGGATTTGTCTACGCAAGTAAATATTATTTTTAGGAATTAACGATCAAACAAATAAATATTTCTGCACATTATTGTAATCATATACTTCATTTGCTTGTGAATTAAACAATTATGTCATTGTTTTATCTAGAATCGTACATAGAATTTAGCAAGGTACCCGGGCATTTATTTACCTGCAAAGAAACGAAGTTCGCGGTAATGCTATTCACAGAAACGAAACTAACGTATATTTTTGTTGTTTCTACTACTTGTTATTGCAAAATTATCGTTATAAATTCTGATGTAAGTGTAAGAACTACGAATTTCTCTTCCACAATCCAAATATTGCACAAACAAGATGTTATTTTTATATTTAATGTCTTGACAGAACTATGAAAAAATTAGTCAGAAATTTTATCTGATTAGCCATCCAGTTTGCTAATTTGTTTTGACAGTATATATAATAATTTTCTTCATTTTTAAAACTATACCATCAGATATATAAGGTGTTCGAGATTTTTGATAACAGGAAACAAGAACACACCAGCACACTGCTTGTCTATTACCAGTGGCGTAGGTATAGAGGCGAAAATATTTTGTCATATTTCCTGTATACTTTATCAAAACAATGCATTTACGAAAAGAAATTACTCTTGTTAGGGATTTTGTTATATTTAGGAGTAAATTGAACACAAACGTTTGCACTTTTTGTTCTGTAAATAATTAACAAACTAACACCAACAACAAATAACTAATTCTGAATGAGAAACGAGTACAAATATAATAACAAAGATAATTCAAAATTTGTTATAGGTATGGAAATTCGTTAAAGAACAGACATACATGTTCAAATACTACCATAAAACCAACATAAAAAATAATTCCTAGCTTGTCTTTTTCTGATAATTACCGTCACGCTTTACTTATACTGTGTCATAAATAGAATCGTTACAAACGTTGTTACCTTCGAACCAGTTTTCACTGACTAAGTTGTTTAAATTATTGTCTACAGATACCGCTACAACACCGAACTACTTTTCTTTTATAATATACTGAGTCGTATCAGGCAACAAATGAATTAGTATACAAGAATATAATGAAATATGCCATTAGAAATAATATTAGATTTCTTATAAGTTTAAATGTTGCAAAATAACTTTAAAATTTGTCTGAATACTGTCGCTTTAAGATTACAAAAATACAAAACTAAATAACTGATTAATTTTAGTAGCAACGTCGATGGCAAGCCTTATTTACGTTGACTTAAACAGTTTTTAAAGGTTAATGCGGTATAATAAAATGTCAAGGACGAAGACAGGACCCTGTCAGTACTTTCTTAAATAGTTTTGTCCTGACTTATATTTCGTTCAATTCGTGTAAATAAAGGTACTAAAATTACGCGTTTCGGCATCCACATTAAAGAAGAATATTTAATATTTTCGTTATATAACCGCCTATAGAATTACAGCCTGGCCTAATTAATAACTGCATTTAATTACCATTATAAAAACTCGTAATTATGATAACCTTTACGTTTACAGCTCTTCCTTTCAATAATTCCCACTTAATTTGCTGAAGGTTTCCATTAATTGTTGTTTCGTTTAATTAGCAACCTCTGAGATCTTTTTTTGTTCGCGCGAGGAATAATGCAGCGATAAGTAAAGCATCTATTGCCTTGCACTTTCGGCTACAAAAGATTTCATAAAAATTATTAATTTTAATTAACTCTGGGCGAAGGTTTTTAGCACAGATGATACAGCTACCGTCGCCAACAGCAAGTGCAAGAAAACAAGGTGATAACTGTTTGTTAATATCCTCAAACGTTTGCCCTCAGCTTTTTTAAGTTTCAATTGTTGCAGGAGATATTTTATGCCAGTTTAGGTATATGTCAAGTCAATATCGTAAAAATGCTGACTATTGTTAATAGATTTAGGATTTAATATCCGCAAGATAAATAGCGCCATTATTTTTTCTTGTGTCGTGATTCATTGCAATTCTTCAAAATGTAGGCCAGGAAATATAAAGTTCGACGCGACTTTTTGTTTCGGCAAGCAAAATGGGGGGAAGATTGTTTACAGGGTGGTTAATTGTATAATTTTTACGTAAATTCACGTTTTTCGCTTATAACTTTTTTCCGTTCATTTCCACGAGAAAATAGCTTTTTCGTCTTCAAAAGACCTACAAAAGTAGCCCTCAAGCGTCAAAAAATATTGATTAGATCAAAAGTTATATAAACAGAAGAAGTTTATTTATGACTTTTGAATTAAACATTTACAAACTGCGTTATTATTACCAGAACGTTTTGGCATCGCATCCTCTCATTCCTTATCACTGTCTAATAAAAATCAGTGCGATTGTGGAAGATGCTCGGGATTTTCCAGACTAATAATTAGTTAATTTGTTTATAAGGCCATAACTTGTAAACTCTTCAACTTACCAGATTTCGTGTGAGTTATTAGACAGTGATAAGGAATGAGAGGATACGATGCCAAAACGTTCTGGTAATAATAACGCAGTTTATAAAAGTTTAATTCAAAAGTCATAAATAAACCTCTTCTGTTTTTAACTTTTGATCTAATCAATATTTTTTGACGCTCGAGGGCTAGTGAAGGTCTTTTGAAGACGAAAAAAAGTACCTTACCGTTTTCTCGTGGAAATGAACGGAAAAGTTATAAGCGAAAAACGTGAATTTACGTAAAAATTATACAATTCTTTATACATTATCAATACTCATAGAATTCACTTTCTGTTCTAAGGTTCCCCAAATAAAAACAGCCACCCTGTATTATCAACAAATAATATGGTAACTTTTCCTCTAAGCAAAGCTGTTCCTTTATAATTATGTTTTGGGCTATTCTAGTTGGTATAAGTCAAATTAAATAAAATAAATTAATCATTTTTTATGGTTTTTCTTACCTGGGTATAGACTAGAGGTACGTTCACTGTGTCGTATCCTATAAGTGCTCCCAGCCTTCTCCTTATATCAGACAATTCCATCAATAAAGTCTGCACGATGTGGTCGCTGGTAATCAACGATTCTTTTCTGGCTCTGTTGATGATATTGGTCGCCCACACCAGAGGCATCCAATATTTGGACATGGGCGTCTTTTGGTCCATCAGTTCGAATATCTTTCGTTCGCTCTCCATCATAAGACCTACAACGAAAGATATAGTTTACTGAAACTGATTATGTGTTTTAAAAACCCACAAATTTATAGATACAATGGAGGATAAAAATTAAAACAATACTGTTAGTTAAACCAAAGTGATTGAGGGTATAATATCTTATAGTAAAAATAGGAGAACTGTTAATCATATTCAAATATGAATTAATTCCATTTTAAAAAGAAGTCCCTTAAAGAGAAGTGATGTAGCCATACCATCATGGCTGGATTGGGTGTTGATCTTTGTTTAAAGTTGACAGCATTGTTTCAATATATCTGATAAGTGTAACAGAAAATGGATAATTTAAAATACACTATTACATCGTTATCAGTACATGTGCGGTAGTTTATTACCATCCACGGGAGCAAAAGGTTTTATGTCCCTGACCATAAAGATTAAAGAAATGGCAGCACCAACCGATAAGGTTAAAAACTGCAGCGATGTTTAAGTTTCATTCTAGAATCCCAGTCATGCGTAAGTGGAAAAATTTCCATTTCTATGTCGGCGCCAGTTGATTTATTATTGGCGCCTTTTCCGCAATCTAATTGCTCACTGCCGCTTTCAAATGTCGATTTTTTCTTACAGAAAATAGTTTCGTCTCTCTACGCATGAATGATTTGAATATACAACAGTTTTTGCAAAGTACATCTAATTCGTACATTTATAGAAAAGTTTGCTACAAGGAATCTAATAACGATTTTGTGGTAGGTATATAGGGTGTTTAAGAAAAACGAGTCAGCAAAATTCTTTCAAAAAATAACTTTAACGTCTTGTATCTCAAGCAGAAAAATTCATAAAAAAAATATGTTCTATGGCCCTAGGTTTTATGGCGCCATGAATATTAAATGCCTTGTGTATTATTTATTGTTATTTAAAAACATTGTTTATACATTTTACGACAAATTTAAATTATATGCAAAGTAAGAGAAAATCTACATAAAATACTCGATAGTAAACTCATGCTTAGCTTTTGAACTTAACAGTGTTACAAACAAACCGGATAGTAAATAAGTAGTTTCCAGGAATCTTTAAATATGCCGAAGTTCAAATCTTAAAAAAATGTAAAAGAAAAGATATTTATTTATTTGCAATGCCATATAGATCACTTCTATGAAGATATCTATTCAAATTACTTTTGTCTTATTATCAATATATTACGTAAATTTTATTACCAAAGAGAAATTAATTATTCGATAATATTTACAGCATAAAGGGGGTATTATTTACCAGTCGAGGACGATTTTGCGCCCGAGCGGAGCGAGGGCTGACAATAGAGTTCGAGACTAGTAAATTAAATTTAACTGCTGCGTGGTGTATGACATTTTATCTGCTTCCTCAGTTCCTTATCGTTCATGAAGTAAAAATTAGGTTTTATTTTTTGACATTTTTTAATCAATTCATTTTGACATTATTCGAAATCTTTGTGTTTCTGAAATGTCACTGCTAGTATATTTCATGGAGAAGTCAAGAATTTTAAAGTTACCGGCGAATTTGTGGCGTGAATACTCAATGACTAGGCATTGCAGGAGTATGCCGTTCTGATGAGTTATGCAAACTTACTTTGGACAATGTCAATTTCAAAAATTTCGATTACATTATTGTAGTTACAATTCCAGATTCTAAAAATGGTACGTCACGTACGTTTACAATTACTTGTAGTCTGGGTTCTGTTTCTCACCTAGAAATTCTCAAGAAATATATCAAGATTAGATTGGAATTTCAAACTGAAATTTCACGCTGTTTTATGCGCTATCAAGCAGGTAGATGTTACAACCAACCAGTCGGCAAGAATACCCTCTCTTTGATTCCTAATAAGATTGCACAGTATTTGAAACTAGAACATCCTGAAACATGTACAGGCCATTCATTCCGAAGAACATCGGTAACGTTACTGGCTAATACAGGAGTTGATGTATTAGCAATCAAGAGACATGGTGGATGGAAAACAGCCACAACTGCAGAAAGTTATGATGCTGACAGTTTAAGTAACAAAAATTAAATAGCCAACAGGATTCTTTACAAAGACACTTCAACTCCAGTTTCTAGTAGTACGTAGCATCATGTTGTTTTAATGGATCAGTCAGATAATATTGAGCCTACGGTGACTGAAATCATTTTGAGAAAAATGTAACAATTAGTAAACGCGAGGGAAATAATTATCCAGATTTTATAAATGTTACTAAATGTAATAACTGTAAAATTACTATAAATATGTAATGTTAATATTCATCAAATATTTCTATTTATAACTCGAAAACGCTTTTTTCCCTAGGGAGGTAATTTACCTCACTTACCCCCTGTTGTCCATAGCAACTTCCACTTCTACGATAAAATCCACTTACCTCCTTAGAAACAATGTATTTATAGTCTATTTATTATAGTGGGAGCAGATAAACTACTTTTTTCTTTAAGCGGTTGTGTCTTGATGAAGTCACTATATTTTCTCAGTATTTCGATGAGAATATAACTAAAATGAATAATGTTTAATAATAAGGAGTTTATAACGCAGACAGGTTTACCAGAAATATTTTGTAGACAAGTATACCATATGATAAATAAAGTTTAACTTTTTTAGAGGCATACCTAAATCAAGCCGGCAATTTTTGCATATAATAACAATTTATCGCACACATCTATTTATAGTTATCAAACTTTCAGTTGTATTTACGTAAACATACGACTGAAATCTATTATTAGCTATTCATTATTTTCATAAGAATGAAGATTCAAAACATACTTTATAATTTACATTTACATATCCACATATATTTCTTTAAACGTATTTAACAATCAATTTGAAACATTTTGAAACTTTTATGTATATCGGCATCACTCTTGTAACCGCTTATGAGTTCGTAGCCACTCGAGGAACTGTCACCGTCAATGGAATGCTGAAGGGCTTGTTTTTGTTTATGTATTTATGTTGTAAAGACCATCATTATCTAACTTTTGTAAACACTTCCTTATATGACCATGTTTGGTTAAAAGTAAGCTGATAGGGTAGAGGAACGCACAAGCAAACGCCCCTGCGAGCAGTGTGTATTCGATCTCATAATATGTAAATAGAGTCACATCTCTCGTCTATTATTTCGACGACAATGGAGCAAACCAACCCCTATGTCTCCGACATGTATGACTAAATACGAATATAACTTTGATCTAGGATTTGAATAAATAAAAATAAGTACTCGATATTTCTAAACACAGGTAACACAATTAATATATTTACATATTTCTATCTATTAACATCCAATTCGTAATAAGTTAAGAAAACTACAACTCTAATAAACGTCGCACTTATACCCGACGCCAGTCTTTTCACTCATTTATTACATTTATCTGTTTAATTTATACTTTTTACAGTGGGTACGAGTATACAGAGTGTTAAAAATAAATTGTAGAAGCAAGTACTTCAAAAAAGTAAGATAAATCTTTGCATGATAATAATAATAATATCTCTACCCCTCATTCTAACCACGAGAATTAGTCTAGAAGTCGGAGACTTGTGTGGGAGAGGGGGCGGCATATTATTATTATTAAGCAGGCCGCAATTGATAAATGAGTTAATTATTTCTTTTCTTTTCTTCTCATAAAAAAGTAAGTGCTTTTGTGTTTATGAATAGTTATTCCTTAGGACAGTTTAACCTACCAGTATAGTAGAACATATTAAAATAGAAGGTTAGACCCAAAATGAAGTTAATGTTAATATTGATAAGTACGTAGATTGTAAGTTTGTAGCATTTTAGGTTATTTGTTGACTTATTACTGTTTCACATTGGTTCTCTAATAAAAACTAGAAAAATAAACCAAACATTTGTCTTTTAACGATTTCTATAAGTCACTAGTGGGTTATAAGTCATAACTTACTAGTGACTTATAACTAATAACTCACTAGTAACTTATAGGCCACATTATTCCTTTAAAACCAAAGAAATTATAGTATCATTATATACAAGTGTTGGATAAATAAATGAAAATCGTTAAAATGTTGTTTGTATAGATGAATAATTGTTCTCATTAAATATATGCTTGTAATGTAGACGATGCCTAATTAGTAAACAGGAATTTCATTGCAGTCAATGGGAAACACAGAAAACTGGCTTCTTAATTTATGGAATATTTTTGGATTGCAAGGTAAACAGAAAGTGATATGTAATGACACTGAAATTAACTTACTGACATTGGTTTTATTTTTAAATAATAATTCTGCGTGGAGCAATAATGTGAGCGACGTAACTATCGTTGAGGCTATTAAAAATAAAAAAAATCAGGTGCCTCCCGTAAATATACACGGTAAGTAAGATTTATAATAATGATGACTGAAACAATATAATTGGTTCAAGTTAAATTTGTTATACCTAAAATAAAAAAAAAACATTTATTTGTTATATCTTGATTTGAAGTAGAAATTTAAAAAATACCCTTGATATTTCTTTTATTCATAGAATGCACATATTTTGAGAAATTCGTTTTCTTTTTAACAAAACGCTATAACAGCATTTCCTTGAGATTATGTTGCTCTGCTGCGAAATATTGAGTTATAACAATATGCTATAAATCATACAGGTAGTCTTCCTGAATGACGCATCAACACTGCAGCGAATTATTATTGTTTATAAATTATTGTGTTTGCTACTACTTTGCTACTAAAAATAGTAAATTTCCAACAGAAATAGTTTTATTAACGATTACGTATTAGCATAGTAATTTATGCTACTAATAATCATTCTGTTTTTGTGCTCGCAATTCATACGTTACTTTTACCTCAACATAGAGGTTAATTATCGCATTCGCAGTACTCGTATATAACGTATTGCATAAATATCCCATATATGAAGCAAAATATTCATAATTTGTGAACTTGCTCTGAATTTATATCTTGCAATCTTCTTTTAATCTCCTCTAGCTGTCTAATAAAAATTATTCCAATGGTATCTTGATTCTTGATTATAATTAATTATCATTTAGACGCTGATAATAAGGTATTTGA